ACCATATATTTTGAGTAGAGATTGATTTTAGAAAAAAAGTTTTGGCTGTCCACTTCTCCGGCTTCATGAAAAAAAAGGGAAATCTTCCAAATAACGGAGGAAAGCAATTAATTAAGATAGAGAAGTAAAAAGCCTAAAAAAACTTTCTTTCGCCCTATATAATCTAATGGAACCTTCTCCCACATAGAGTTTTGAAACTTATTATTTTTACACTGTATAATGTCATTTTGTGAAATATTCGTTATTATGATCAGTAGTACATTATTAGCTTCTGATTCAAATTGTAACTTCCTTCGAGGAGTATTTGGCAGCTTGAAATAATGTTTAAGGTTGCTGTACTCGTAATTCGTGATAGCAACTTTCCTTCAGTTTGAAAAATTCCTAATTTTTGTGGATTATTCGTTGATGCCGGCCCTGTTATCCTACCAGATGTGGTGGAGCAGGTGTCAGGGGTTGTTCTAATCTCGCTTGTATAGAGTCAACATGATGGAGCGCCTTACACTATCAGATATAGTCTATGCACATTAGAAACTTTGTTGAATACATTCAAAATAATTTACGCAATATGAATACGGATATGTAGGGTTTATTAAAATGAACGCGTTCTGAATTGCAGTGGCAGTAAATTTGCAGAGCGTATCAGAAATTACGGTTATTTTATAGCTTTGCACTTCGTGGCAAATTTCATTTGCCTACTCGTGAATAACACAAATGCGACAGAAACCAGCAGAACCATTCTTTACAATATATTTCTCTCATAACCAGCTTCTTCGAAATACTGTTCTGTTTTTGGGACATAAAATGGAAAGCAGGAAAAATTGCCTTCCAATGTATATTTGGCGTTCAATGATATCTTCTCGAATATTTTGTAAGATTTATTCGAATTCGTATGTATGTATGAGGATGCCGTGAACGAGAATAGAGAATAGATAATTTTTGGATAATAATAATTTTGGATATATATTGTTCATTACACCATTGGTAATCGTTCGCAGCTGCTTCTCAATAACTTGTCTGAGTGCCGTAAATGCGTTGATAGCATAATGCACTAATAATTTCAGTATAGAACTATAGAAGTCTGAGAAAATATCAGAATTTTATGTCCAAACCTCGCTCTACCAGTGTCACTCAAATCATTGAGTGATCCAGTTTTGCCTCAGTTTTGAAGATGGTTGAGAAATTAACTCAGATATCAGTTTTGTTGTCAACTTTTAATTACTGATCTTTCTGTAAATGTTAAGGTGGATATAGATTGTATAAAATCGAGAGTTTGACGAGTAAAATGATTGAAAGAGACCAGGGAAAATTCCTTCCCATATTTATTTATCAAGCAAGCAGTTTTCAATACGAAAATGGAATAAACTGTCAGAATTTCATGTATGCTGAACATTTCTTTCGGAACGAAACATGAGCACTATAGAAAAATCCTCAAGGCGTTCTAAGAGCTGTGTCTGTGTGACAAAAGCGATTCAGGTTGGATTTGAATCGCTGGAGATTAATAAATTAATTTGGAAAAACGTTCTCAAGAACTTCATTCGATATAAACACAGTTCTTCAAATGAGAGTGTTTCTAAACAGTGAAGTTTGAGGTGTACTAAGTTGAACCTAGGAACGATAAGCAGTCACAGTTCGTCGCGTATTTTTGATATCTAACGCTCTTGGTGGAATCAAACTTGTCAAGTCACTTCAACACAATTGATGATGCAATTGATGTTCGTGTCTTCAATTACGCGAATGGCTGTTTTCTGGATGAAATCCAGCAACTTTATGGTATGTTTAGAAGCGGAGCTCCATACATGTAAATCTTACTCCAAAAAAGGTCTGATCTGAGCTTTATAAAGCATCAAAAGTTGCTGAGGTTTGTACAGTTTTTTGGTTCGGAACAGTGTTTCAAGCTTCTGATAAGCAGCCTTCGCAATTACAGCAACATGATTGTGCCAAGACCTATTGGTGTCCATTTCAAACCCCAACTAACTCATTGAAGTAGAAAGCGAAATTGTGTGTCCTGACATTAATATATTGGGTTCGAAGACATTTATCTTTTTGGAGAAAACCGATGCCTAAGTTTTCGTGGCATTAAGTTGAACCTGGTTACACTTAACCCATTTCGAAATCACCTCTAAATCCCCATCAAGATATGCAACCTCTTGCTGCCGGTGAAGATGTGCATCCACAGCTCATGTCTTGGAATCCAAATGGAATGACGAGACAATTGTGCTGTCGTCAGCCAAGCTATATATTCGATATCTGCTTTTGTTTTCAATCAGTCGTTGACATACATTTGAAAGATGATTGGGACAATATGGGGCTAAATTATACTTTATAGGATACTTAAGAATTTTCGAGATTTTCTCTGGAATAATACTACATGTTGGTAGGAATTCAGAAGACTTTATTTTCTGTCGAACTCAATTGGTTCTCGAGATTGCTCATTGGTCAAAGATTGTATGACGTCATATTCTACCTATTTTTTTAAAAGCAATAAACGATTGCAATTCACATATTTTTTTAATTAACACAGCTTTTTCCACGTCATCGCACCTTTTTCTATTCCTTTTCAAACAATTGTCGAGTTTCCTGAAATTAGAATGAAATTCCATAATTTGGCAGGTACACACAAATCACTTTTTATAAATTGCATTAAGATTCACCAATCAAATACGTTCCTTTTAGAATTCGGAGGTCAGGTTAGATGTTGAGAAAAGAGAGTTTTTACAAAAGTGAAATTAAAATATGACATCATACAAACTTTGACAGGCTATATCTCGAAAACCAATTGAGTCCGACAAAAATAAAAAGTGTTCTGAATTCCTACCATCATGTAGTATCATCCCAGATAAAATCGCAAAAATCCGTGAGTATCCCCCATTCAGTGAAATTTTCCCCAAAATGGCTCCCTAGTGAACACCAGCGTTGATGAAAAACTTATTTGAGAGGTATCCATCGATGACCACTTGCATGGAACATTCTTCAATGAAGCTGAAGCGTCATACACAAAAATGATCCGACAAGCAATAGCATCAAAGTTTTGCAAGCAAACCCTCATTCCACACACGGTCGAAGGCCTCTGAAATATCAAGCGGAACAGCTGTTGACTACATTTTTTTTATTGCATTATTCCAAATATGCTTGCCATATTGATGGTCGCTCAAGATGTTGAAGCCTTCCAAAAATTTGAGGATATGGTGTTTCCCGGCTTTTTCCATGATTTTTGATATCACCAATGGCGAAGCGACTGGTCTATGGTTATATGGAAGATTTTTCTTGCTTTTTCTAGGAATAGGCTGAACGCGATCAAACAACAAGAAGATACCCCTTTCTTGTAAGACAGGTCTGCCAAAACTGGTGCGAGTTCTTTGGCGCACTTTTTAAGTACGATTTTGGGCATTTCATCAGGGCCAGACGCCTTGTTGATATTGAGCTGTTTCAAAATTCGCCTGACTAGACGTTGTTGAAGATGTTGCCAATTTGAATAAACAACATACTACTCTTCTATGGATACCAAACACACAATCCATATGGATTCTGGAACGTACTCTCCAGAATGGTATTTTCCATGTATTGAGAGAATCAACTGAATGATGATAAATGGTTTCAGCTGCAGGAGAATTCAATTCCGTAGTGGTGATTCCCACTTCATAACAACTCGAAGAAAATTTTTCAGTGTGTGCTGTGACACGGTCATCAAGTCTCAATACATTATCTGTGATAATTCCAAGGAATTCAGTGCCTGATTTGTTCCCGATAAGACTTTCATTGAGAGATATCGGAATGTTATCAATAATGCCCAAAAATGTATCTAATTAGCTTTTGTGACATTTAAAGATGAAAGGTTAGCATCACACCGGTCCTCACTTTCAATATCTGAAGATACTATTTTATTTAAATCTGAGGTGTTATCACTGTGCCACAGTATTACCTACAATCGTTTTCGTGTCATCACCCGAAGACGATTTGCTTGAAATCTTTTGATTTTTATGTCCTTGTTTTGTTTAATTGTTCATTTTTCAAATTTTGGCTTAAGTCCGAACTAATGAAATTCAAAATGAAATATTGTCAACCAACTTCAAACGAATCACACTTTTTCAGTTGGAATCTATATCTTTTACAATTCATTGTATTATGATATATTGAAGAAGTCGTCGAACGATATATTGAATGAAAATACTGGTGTGTCTATTCTGTAACCAATGAGGGTTAGCATGAGAAAATTTGAAACTCTAAGAGATACAAAATCAGAAAGAAGGTGTCCATTTGAAAGTTGAATCAGGTGACTTTTTCAAATTTAGCAAATTCGGAGATTTTTTGCTGACTTATTCGAGGACATATTAAAAAATACTTCCTTATTGCCACTTGTCAAGCAGTATACGATGGCATATTTTTGCTCTGTCCGACCTATTTTACGGAGTTTCAGAATGAGGGCGACTCTAACCAATCCCTTTGCTTTTTATATGTATTTTAGTGAAACTTGCTTAGAGGAAGTAGTTTCTACAGTAGAAGTTTTTTTTTCTGCATCATTCGATGAATGCTATCTTGATATTGATCATCTGCAAATATACTTCCTCTGATACTATTAATCCATTTTGGACGTCCTTTTTGGGAGCCGCCAGTTCTATCCAGTATTCCTCTGTATATAAAAGCCGGAAAATATTGAATTTGAAGAGAAAATGAGCTGCCATTATATTGTATTACTTTTATTTTATTCATAATCACATTCAGAAACAAATGATAAATCTCTAACATGATGAATGTGTGATAATGTGTAACACAAATATCACATTTCGGCAGACTTAAACATGTTTCAAACAGTTCATATAATTTTCTTGAAACAAAAGTTTCATTCCATCCTCAGTGTAATCGAATGTAATAAAAAAACATATGAAATTTCCTACAGATTTATCACGAGTAAATTATCTGCCTCTCTCACTAAAACAAAGCGCCACGAATGGAATTTATTACCTTGATAGAAATGCTCATATTCATTCAGTGATTTGTTCGCAGGTCCCAGAATGGTTCAAATACGTGCAGAACTCACCGAAATCGAAGATGCCATTCTTAAATAGGCAGCTTGACAATATGACAGCCACGCAAGCAACTTTCCTTTTTTGCACTCTATTGCAGGCCATTTTTATCGAAGGTATGTTCTTAGGATTAATATTGAAATCGAGGATGTGCCAACTCGAGAAATATTGACTCATTTGGTTCTTTCCATATAAATGAAATGTAATATTTGAATTTGAGATTGTGGTGTAGCACTAATTGACGTATAAATTATTTTTGATCGAATGAATATTTTCGTGTTTCATAGGTCACTTCATTGAAGAAACATCTTCAGGCTGGAGTTTTGCTATTTTTGATGTTTTCATGCATGAACATGCGAACATATAATAGATCAACATCTGTATCTGTATTAAAAAAAACATCGTGCTCTAGAATTCAAGAATCACTGAAACTGATGTGGTACGATTCGATAAAAAAATATTTTCATAAATTTTTTGTGTCATATGAGAAATATGTTCTTCTGTTATAACTGATGAGTTTGGATTCACCTCTTGAACTAAAGAATACCACTATATATTAAATTTATTATTGCAATATTTTCAAAAAGTATGTCACAAAGTTTCTACTTCAATAGAGTGAGAGACTCTATGTATAGCGACTTACGATGTTTCGACAAATGTATATACACTCAAAGACTTGTTGAACTATATGAATGAATATAATATGTATTCCAAATGTTAGAATGTTTGTTTTAATTGTATTATAACAATCGGATGATGGAAAATTCAAACCTGCAAAAAGACAAACTTTCTAGATTTTCCATTGAATGGCACGACGAGTCGCATCGCCCATTCAAGATCGTTCGAAAGCTTTCCAAGACGTTCTTGAACATTCTGGAATATTGCGCGAAATGTTCGAGAATGTTCGAGTACATCCCAGAACATCCCAAATTATTGTGGAACAAAGAGAGTTTTGGGTGTGATAGCCATGTATCCGCCATTCAAGAAGATTTGGTTTTTACCTGAAGGGCGTGCTTTTGAAGATAAGTTTCATCTTCTGGAAATTTTGAAAATAGTCTGAAACTTTCCGGAACATCCCGTGGTATCGAAAGCTCTGGAATGTTCTGGAACATTGTGAACATTGAAAGCCATTTTTATATGGATGGAGTTACCCATTGATGGGGATATATAAAATAAGATTCGTTGACCTCTAATAATTTGAAGTTCATCTTTTCATTCCAACTACCCGCCAGTTTCTCATCAACTCTCCATCGATCAACTAATAATAATAACCTTTAATAAAGTTCACTGAAACAAAAGTATGTTCGAAATTATCAATTATAATCTTGAAATACCTACTATTTACCTGAAGACATCACTTAACAGAAATGTGATCTTAACTGTCAAAATGAATCACTACGTGAAAACGCAATTGCACCCTATTTTCATCATCGCAAAATAATTTCAATTCTGCGATAACTCCTAAGATAATAATTTCAATTTGTCGTGTAATGAATGGTCAATTATAGTATGTATGAAATGCCTAATAAGAAAACTAACTTATTTGTTTGAGGGTTAATATCGTATTCGTCTGAATTGCTATCCTTGAAATTCTTCGTCGACTTATTTGTAGACCTATGAAAAAGAATAATATGTAGTGAACTGTTTTGTTGAATCCAAAAGAACTTTTGCAGCGTTTCTGATGGAAGCTGGTTCCCCTCAAAACATTTCATCCAGTGGTGAAAACCGCATGAAAATTTGTTCGGTAGTTTTTGAGTTTATCGTGATCAGACAGACACGGCAAAGGACTTTGATCAATCAATATATTTAAAAAGTGTGACTGATCACTGCCTGTTTATCTGATCGTATGTGCGTTTGTGTGTATTGATATAAAAAATCGTTAAATCGATTTAGGTGGAGTTCACTAATATGTTATGATGAGCTCCACTCAACATCTAGAGTTTGATTCATTCAAATCGGTTCATTGATTAAGAAAATATGTGAATTTGAGAAATCTCTTAAAATATTTGCTGAAATATTAGTCAACAATCTTTATAATTTGTGAAATGATGACAAAACTCAAAAACGGAAATCCGCACTATGTAAGTCACGGACAATAGCTTCACAAAAAATACTGAAATGGTTAGTTATTCAATTATGAACAGTTGATTTTTTTTATATCAAGTAGAATTCATTTGAATATTCATGGATTTTTATGATATGAAATCTTAATAAATGTGCTATCGTTATTTGGACATTTGGGTATTATTGAAAATGAAAAATCTAATCCAGATAATGATGAAGATGTAGCATATATTTTCAAGTATTTTTGCATAATTTTTCTTGACACGTGTTTAACCAATTTTTCTGACGCCAACAGGATATGATAACAACTAATGATTATTTTCATCTGCTTTAATGTTTGCCTATATAAGCATACAAATCGTTTGCTGTGGAAAGAATTAATTTTCAGTATATGTATTTGATTTGAGGTTCTACTACTACCAAAAAGCTCCTTAAATCAGTGAAGTAGAATTCAATAATCAAATTATGACTGTATTATATCTGTTGCATTGGTAGGATGCTCAAAATGTATGAATTAGAACATCTGAGACAAACGATAAACTGGATTCCATGCAAACAAAGTCGCGGGCAATAGCTAGTTTAAAATATGTATTGATGGTGGAAGGTATAAATTCATGAAACATTGACCCCTCCCAAACAAATGTTTTTTCAATATTGAGACGAGAAAGTTTCCGTAATTATTCAAACAGATGATCCTGGAGGAATACATCAATTGTTTTTGTTGTTTTATCAACTTCCTCTTCATAGATACAAAACGAAATGGATTGAAAGACTATGGCAAATAAAAAAATTGTATGAATTTCAAACTAAACTTTCATTATCGGTACCCTTCTTTCAGACTTCATCTTATTCAAATAGAAAACCAATTTCTCATAGCTCATAAAATGATAAATTTCTAAAAAATTTGAAGTTAATAAATGGATTCAATCGCCCGATATTGTGTCTGCGATATAAGGCATTTTCCAAGTCTTGTCACGAATATCTGGAACGGATTTGTATACAAGAATTTCATTCTTTTGAATCAATTGAATTTGTACTTCTGTATGGCATTCTTATATATCCAGCCAGCATCAATGGATACACCAATAACGCTATTTATTTCCCGCTGTGGGATGTTTTGTGAATATTTTATAACAGTATCGTTTTGAATCTCTACTTTGTGTCTACCTTCAAGGGTGCGAGAATATTTTATTGAAGAAGGATTATTGAAGGGATGTTTGAAAATTCCTATCTGAAAATGAAAGGACTAAACCACAGAATGTAATATTTGCTGGAAAGCTGTTCCGATAAAATAACGATGATAATGACAATCCATAAAATTTTCAATTCCTCAGTGGAAGAGAGACAAGCGAAGCTGTTGTATGATTTTCAAAATATCATGAGTATTCTATGGGTGGTTTGGAAAGTTATCTAACGAAAAGTCCTAGCATGTAAAATTGGGTAATTTTTACCGGCAAATGTGGAAAAAGTGTCAATAATTGGTCTAGTTCTTATCTTTCTCCATGTATTGGAATAATTCCACAAATATTGATTTTCAAATAAATTCACACTCTCCACAGGTACGACATATAATAACGGGAAAAATAACACTGGATCAAAAAAATACGATATCGATATAGTGAAGATTAGCTATAGTCCGCGACTTCGTTCACATTGACGGTGATTTTTTGGTTTTCCCATATTTTTTAAAAACAAAACGTTTTCATGCTATCGATAGAAAGATAATTCAACTTAACCTAATAGAATTTTTATAGTATTATTCTCAACAAAATTTCTCATGATTACTTGATTGCTTTACTGAAAATCACTAATTTCTCTAAAATATATTTTATGAAAAAACAGCGATCAGTTACACTTTTATGATATGTTGAATTATCTAAAGATTTTATTGATACAACAAATAAAATGAAGTCATGAATCAATAAAGTTTTCCTTGTTCAGATTTGAGTGGTGAATTCAATCAACGAGATACTTTACTGATTTGATCAGTGTTTTGGTTATAGCTGAACCAAAGATCGAATATACTGAAAATTATTTTTCTACACCAAAACTTTGATATGCTTTTCTCTCCAAGCATTAGACCAGATAGCTTACCATTTGTGTGAAAATTATCATTGAATGTTATTATCTCCTTCTGAAGCTCAAACGGTGAGTGAATAATGTTTCCTATGAAATCATTTTATAATTTTGAAATTGAGGAAGTTGAAAACATTGAAAATAGTTCATTTTGAAAATACAACCTATGTCATCATTATTCTTCTAACTTGATTTTTCAATATCAGTTCTGAATGTGTGAATTCCTTTGAAAGTTCAAATGATCAAAGTATTTCGATAAATAAATATGAGCTTATTCATTCTGTGATCACTTTTATTATATGTATAATTGAGCAATGGTTAAATTGAAATGATATTCGTTTCAATGTCAATAGAACTTTACCATCGTGGTTTGGGTGTCCACGTTGTGAATTAGAAGCATAGTAATTAACAATAGATGCTACACAACAACGTTGAATCAACATTCAACCCCTTTTATTCAACGTAGGTTACTTTACTGGGCTCAAAGATGATGAAGAAGTTGAAGAGGGTCAAGGAAACATCATGAAATGGTTTATGTGCAATCTGCTAACAATTCATTTCATGAATAAAAAGGCCTTTTTTATTTTCGGGTGGAATACGTTTATCTACCAACCCACATCACATTCTAATAGGGGAGCCCAATCGAGCATTTCGGAATTTACTGAAGCGCGGCAGATTAATATACAGGGGGATACATTGTACTCGGATAAGTACCTCCACCAAATATGAGACCCATATATAAGGCCGCCTCTGAGGGATNAGTTCATCTCATTATCTTGATCAGGATCACCAGGATTGAACAATTTCAGTCATGACGAATATGTCTTCAATATTATTTCGAAAAGATTTTACTCCTCAAGTTCATAGTTTCTTTTGAACAATATACAAATATCAGTGACAGGATTCCTGTTGAATTTCATGAATGGATAACCAATTCTCATCAGAATTGGGAGTCTTTCGAAGTGCCACAGATGAT